AAACGTAACAAATGAATAACTGCACAATGGCGCCTAAAACAGACAATAGTGCAAACAACGCTCCCATTTCTGTGCCCATGTTGCTGTTTACAGTACTGTCTTCCGGTAGCATTAAAGCCATGTGTTATAGTCATGTGATAGGGGCTTGACGAATAAGGGAAGGATACGCAATGACACAAAAGCCCCAATCAGATAGCGAATCTCAGCAGTCCCGCCTCCGTTTTCAGATGTCTCCGTTTTTCCTCATCCACAGACGGAGCAGCAGCGTTTCAGAATGAAAACGTCCTCTCCAGCGTTTTCGAAAATGCTCCGTTTTCGGCGCTCGAGAACTTCAGTGTATTGTGGACGAATGGCGTAACCGTAGCAAAACTTATGCGTTTTCAAAGTAAAACGCATTACTGTAAACAGGGCCTAAGTCACAGCTGAGAAGGGAGAAAAGCTCCGAAGTAAAACATAATTAATTAAATCAGACCTAGCCCGTGACACATTTCACAAGTTTAAGTGAAAGGCTGCCTCCTTGTTTTCTCTAGCTTGCAAATGATGTATTTAATTGTGTTTTGTTACTTGTAACCGCTTGCACTGTATCAGGTTAACTCTTTATATTCTCATATAGCGTCTAATGCCATGATGAAAACTTGACGCGTGCTGCTTTGTTTACGGACTTAAATGAGTTTGTGAGCTCGCGTTTCACTGCGGTTTCTCGTTGCTATGGCCACCGTCAGCTGTTCCTACACGTGTGCAGTGGTCAAGGTTCAGAATAGTTTAGCTTTTGCTGCTGTGTGGATTAATACTGAATGTGTGTCATAGTTAAGAATAGAACAATATGCTGGTGTTTGACTACTTTTGGGGAGATGTCTGACTAACACTGTTGAGTAAATTTTTTCTATGAAGTTTGTTCAGGCGTCCACTGCAATCGGATCCTATACCAATGTTGGGGACCCGGGGGCTTGACAAACCGCGCTGGGCATTTGTCTCGCGCTGAGCGTTGTCGACCAATCACAACAAGTTGTCATTGGTCCAATCAGCGCAGATAAGCTTCGCGTTAAGGAGGGGTTTGGGAACAAATGAATCGCTGAACGATTTATACAGGAGTCGCTGGGATAATTAAGTAAAAAAAAATTCATATTATAAGACCATGAAAGTGTTTTTTGACCTTGCATGCATCTCAGTATGTTGTTGGAGACCCATAACGGATATATGACCCTTTTTATGTATAATATGGGCTCTTTAAAAATAAAATAATTATGTTGTTATTATTATTATTTTATGAAAAGCCTGACCAGGGATGTGGGCTGCAAATTAGCTTTATGTTATACCTTACATGGTATCAGTTGTCTCGCTATAACTATGTCAATGTAATGTCCCTGTTAAATAAACATATAAGCAAACAAACATATAAGACACTGACTGCAGACGATGATCAAAACATAAAAGCAAACAAACATATAAGAAACTGACTGCAGATGATGATCAGTTATACCATTTAGTGTCTTCTTGTCTATACAGAAGAATGACAATATTTTGACCGATCAGAATTTGTGAGTAGAAAGTATTTTGTATTTTATAGCTCCTATTTTTTGGTAAATAATATGTGTAATTGAAATAATAAACAAATTGGGATAATGGTGAAATATTAATAAAAGCTATTTATTTAAGGGAATTATTTTCATCGTCAATAAAGTGATAGTCAATCACAGTTATTTTACATGTATTTTTGATTTACATGTATTTTTAATAATCTGGCAGAAAATTAACTAAATATACAGCTATATCGCACTGCTAAGAGTGTAATATCGCGTTTATATGTTTGATGGCATAATTGTGTATATAAAAAGTAAAATCAAACACAGAGAGTGTAAAACCCTTTGTATTAACTACTTTCTTCCGCCACTCATTCACATTTGCAGCTGACGTCAGAACAGCAGAAACTGTTGCTGGTTCACAAACGTCACTTTAAAACTAGTATTCGAATAATTCTCAAGCGTAAAGTCTAAAGTAATGATAAAACAGGTGATTTTGCTTACATTTTAAGATTATAGAGCTGAACGGCATGAAATGTCATCAGTCTACAGAAATTTTCCACTATTTCTCTGTTGCAGTCGGGATAATAATAATAATTAACCCTGAAAAAGCCAAAGCAAAGCTAACACTTCCAGATTACTATTGTATACTATTAGTGCTGCCAATCGATTAAAAAAAATTAATTAATCACACTTTTTAAAAAAAATAATCGTTTCAATTTAAGTGAAAATAAGAAACATACCCTCTCGCTGAATATCAGTTTTAATAATCAATAATGGCCATTATAAAAGTATAACATTTAATAAGTTTATACATTATAGGAAATAAAGGCAAGCGATCAGTCAATATACAGAATGTAGGCTACGTGGTTACATTAATCATTAGCTTATCTTTGCGCTTAGCCAAAACATGTTACCTGATATCAAGTAATAGATTCCAATGACCAAAGTCGGGGAATATGTCGTTAGATAAAGACAATAAGATGAATGAAATATCACGTTTAATAAATATAGTGAGATTAGATCCAGCAGAAGATGCTTGATGAGCACTCCGACTAGCACAGCTATCTGGGTAGATAGGCTGCAGCGCTTGGCCGAGAGTGTGTGTGTGTGTGGCCACAAGATGTGCGTTTTCAGCGTTTTGGTGTGGACGGAGAGCTGTTCAGAAACGCTGGGTAAAACACTAATGTGGACGTGGATCGTTTTCATTCTAAAACGCTGTTTTAAAACTAAAACGCACTAGTGTAAACGGGGCCTTAGTTACTGTTGCTACGCCTGTCAAGCTTTCGTGCCTGGCACGTCCAGACATTGCTAGGGATATAATTAGTCATTTTTAGCAAACAGGTGAGATATCTGCTGAAAGAATCCAGACAAAAAAGGACTGCAGTATGCATTACAGGGGTATATTCACCACATAATAGGCAACCGATTAGAAAATAATTCAATGAAAATTGAAGCTAGCTTAGCCTAGCCACCTCATACTCTGACCATTCAACAGCTTAGTTCATGCACAGCAGGAGAGGTGACATTTAAAAATTGCAAATCATAGTATAAATAGCAAAAGTGAACAAACAGATTTTCCCTACCAGCAAATATTAATCAGACACCAAATATAAAAACAGACACTAACCCGGTATAACATCGTCACCAATGAGCAATGACTAAGTAAATCTCCAAAAGACTGATGAAAACATCAGTGAATTGTAGCTCTGACATAGGCACGAGGGTTAAAATGACTAAAAAACAGCTGCGGGTGAAGTATATTGATCACAAGTGCTCAGTTTGTGATCAATCTCGGTTTTGTTTTGTTGATTTGTAATCTTAAATATTCGTTGCTTGAAATGGAAATATGACTGCTGACTACTCTGGCGAAGGCAAAACGGAGCAGTGCTCATAATATCGAGCGAAAAAATAAGAAAAAGGCAGCTGTTAAACACAACCTGCTTTGTATTTTTGTAGGAAACACAGTTTAGATCCGTTTATGGTAAGAGGTGTGTGAGGTATTGCCGTTGGTCTATCACTGAATTTATCAGGAAAATCAAAACAAAACCTACTTAACTCTGCTACTTTAGGGCCCCTCACACAGCTTGATCCACGCTGCCATTTCTCCCCTTGGGTCTTAGGTTTTAAAAAAGGAAAAAATTCCACCATCCCGTCCAAACTTTTAGGATACCGGATGTCAGATTTGCACAATTCATATGCACAACGATGTGGCCTGTTTCCCTCGCTCAAAAGCTTGACATAGCCCCTGCGCATAGCTACGGTTGCTAAGCCACGATTGGTGGATGGCGGTTTTTGGGTGTGGCTTAGGGAAGGGTCAATTGGGTAAGCTAAAATTGTCCATACTTTATGTGTCTGAATGAGAGTGCATGGGAGCTGGAAGGGCATCCGCTGCATCCGTTGGCGGTTCATTCCGCTGTGGTTACCCCGGATTAATAAAGGGACCAAGCCGAAAATGAATGAATGAATATTCCTCCTCTAAGGGCTTATTATGGGCTCTCTGTCGCCATCTTGTGGTGCAATATCAACCCTCTTTGCTCTGCTTAGTATGATGGATGCCTACGTACTGTATCTCCGAAATTATAACTATTTAAAATAGGCACTATCCTTATAAATAAACTGCATAGATGCAATCTAAAAAATTACATTCTCTCCTAAAAAAGCCCCCAAAGTACATTATGTTGTCCAACAGCTGCAGTATTTGTCAAACTGCAGTGAGTTTATTGATCTGCTGTCACTCTATGTGGGTTGAGTAATACAGAATGGTGAGGAGGCTGTACAAGCGCTGATATTGCAGTATATCACATGGTGATATAGCCAATCAGATCCGAGAATGTATGTATGTATTTGCAGCAGTGTTATTTTAGTATTGCAGATAGACAATTTTGAAATATATATTTTGAACTAGCTGTTGTTATAATACTTTCGGCTTTAATTTTAATTTCATTGAAGTGCTTTGTAATTTGCATTTATTAGATTATTTATTATATTTAAGCTTAATTATATATTATGCACTTGAAATAATAAAACAATGCATTTTCTTCTGTGAAATACACAATTTTTTCATATTTTACAATATACATTTTTATGTAGCGCCTTTAAAATAATTACTTTGAAGTGTCAATCAATTTGTGCTCTTTTGTTTTAGTTTTACCGTAATAACACTGGGCATCACTGATCATAAATTACAGCATGCTCAATAAACAGCATTTATAAATCACTCACACACAAGAACATCTAATCAATATCCAGAGTTGGAGGGCTTTAGGACCCAGTTGAGCTTCTTTTCTCTCCTGCAGCACAGACATTAGCGCAGTTGCACTGCTCTCACACACTCACCTACCAACACAGATCTGTCAGACAGACTTACACACAAACGCACACACTAACACACATGTCTGTTACAGTCTAATGACAGTTCACACACGTTGAGCGGTTCCTCTGAGCTCTCTCCTCCTGCGTCTTCTCTTTGGGTCTCAGTCTGAAGCATCATCCTCTGGACAGAGCAGTGATGATGATGAGATAGGGAAGGACAGACAGAGGGACGGTGCTTTGGGGGTTGAAAAGACTGCGCTGGTTGCTGAAGCAGGGCAAGAAACCTTTGTGAGTGTCTCGGCAGGAGCAGCATGTCTCAGATGAAGCGATACACATACAGCAGGGTGAGTGTCTCACACACACCTCTCTCTCTCTCTCTCTCGTGTGTAACTGTAATGAACTGTAGTGAGTGTGTTTGGTGTTGTTGATGTGCAGGTGTTTTAGTATCAGGCGTGAGAGTTTGCGTGGGCTCGGGCTTCTGGAATTTGTAAGGCTCAGCTTTTAGCTAAAATGCCCTCGCTCGTGAACCGCTTCAATTGTTTGTGTTTTTGCGAGGCAGTTTAATGAGTAATACATTCAAGACATGCACAGATTGATGTGATGCAGTTTGTTGTTGGTACTGCTTTGATTTTGTTCATGGCATAGTATAAAAGTCAACATTTATTCGCCTTTATTCAATTCCCATCTAAAATATACAGTTGAAGTCAGAATTGTTAGTCCCCCTGAATTATTAGCCCCCTGTTTATTTTTTTCCCAAATTTCTGTTTAACAGAGAGACGATTTTATCAACACATTTCTAAACATAATAGTTTTAATAACTCATTTCTAATAACTGATTATTTTATCTTTGCCATGATGACAACAAATAATATTTGATATTTTTCAAGACACTTCTATACAGCTTAAAGTGACATTTAAAGGGTTAACTATGTTAATTAGTTTAACCGTGCAGGTTAGGGTAATTAGGCAAGTTATTGTATAACAATGGTTTGTTCTGTTGAGTATCAGGTAAAATATAGCTTAAAAAGGCTGTCCTTAAAATGACTTTTAAAAATGTTAAAACTGCTTTCATTCTAGCCGAAATAAAACAAATAAGATTTTAAGTAACAGAGCGGAAATTGTCCTTCCTCTGTTAAACATCATTTGGAAAATATTTAAAAAAGAAAAAAATTCAAAGGGGGGCTAATAATTCTGACTTTAACTGTATATATTTTTAAAAAAATGTGGTTCCCATTGACTTCCATTGTATGGATAAAGAATGATTTAAAGTTTAGCATTCATCAGCATATTTTGTTTTCATCACACAGTACAATGTCAGGTCAAATTTTGAATGACTTGTGGGTAAGCAAATGTTGACAGACTTCTTATTTTTAATGAGAGTGTTTCTCTCAGGCCGTCTGAGATTAAGGTGTCTTTTTTTCTTGTGTAAAAACATAAAGAAAAAAAGATTTTTAGATTAACTGCGGTCCTTGGTTTTGCACATAATGCATGTCAATGGTTACTGGTTATTTGAGAGTCAAAAAAAGCAGGCAAAGCTAAATTAATATATGAGGAAAAAAATATTCTGTCAATACATTCATTCATGCATTCATTTATTCATTAATTTTCCTTCGGCTTAGTCCCTTATTTATCAGGGGTCACCACAGTGGAATGAACCACCAACTATTCCAGCATATGTTTTACACAGCAGTTTTACACAGCGGTTGCCCTTCCTATTGGGAAATACACTCTCACATTCACACACACACTCATACACTACAACTTGGGGAGAACATGCAAACTCCACACAAAAATACCAACTGGCCCAGCCAGGATTCGAATCAGCGACCTTCCTGCTTTGAGGCAACATTGCTAACCACTGAGCCGTCCTATCAGTACAATCAGTTTTGGTAAAAACTGCACATTATTTACAACATTCTTAAGTCAAAGCATCTGCAAATGAACATGAGCCCAGTTATGACATACAGTAAAGAGTGCTCTATATTAAGTTTACATAAGAAAGGGAGAATGCATGTGTTGATTCCTAATTAATGATAATTACTTTGTTATTTATTTTGCTTATAATGGACTTGACACCTCTTTCAGCCACATAAAAATATCTAATAATAAAATAAAATCTAATGTCCACCTAAAGGTAAAAACGTAAAAACGTAAAAAGGTATCTTAAATTTAGATGAGAGTGAGTAAATTAGCAACAAATCTTGATTTTTTGATGAAACTATCCATTTAACTTACTCAGCTAAATATCAGTCTCAGCCAATAACATGGTTTAATGTAGTAATAACTTACCACTTACATCTCAAGACATAAATCTAAGGCCATTATCCCATATATAACATTAATTAGCCCTGCTATACATAAAACCTCAATTCAAGTGGGCTGTTGGTGACTAGCAATGAGTCCCCACAAAAATAATAAAACCTGTAATTATTCACATTATGGGAAACAGCTAAAGAGAAAACATTATATATATATATATATATATATATATATATATATATATATATATATAATATATATATATATACATGAAGTCAGAATTATAAGCCCCCCATTGATTTTTTTTTTCTTTTTTAAATATTTCCCAAATGATGTTTAACAGAGCATGAAAATTTTCACAGTATGTCTGATAATATTTTTTTCTTTTGGAGAAAGTCTCATTTGCTTTATTTCGGCTACAATAAAACCAATTATTTATTTTTTTAACACCATTTTAAGATCAAAGGTCAAAATTATTAGCCTCTTTAAGCTATATATTTTTCGATAGTCTACAGAACAAACCATCGTTATATAATAACTTGCCTAATTAATCTTACCAGCCTAGTTAATCTAATTAACCTATTTAAGCTTTTAGAAATGAGTTATTGGAAGTGAGTTATTAAAACTATTATGTTTAAAATGTCGATAAAATCTTCTTTGCGTTCTGATTTAATTACTCAAACATAGACCTCTATTACACATTCACACATGTTTTAGCGTTGTAATAAATTCAAATAATATGCATTTTGGCCACATTTTATTTTCTTGCTATGACCAAACCATTAACTATAATAATTAATAATTCCTTACATTTATATAGCGATTTTTCTGGACACTCACATTGGGGGGAATCTCCTCAGCATCCACCTGGATGATTGCGCCAGACCGCACATCTGCTGATTAATGAAGATGAAGCCAATTATGATATGGGGATGGTAAGGAGGCCATGATGGACAGAGGCCAGTGGGCCAGGATACCTGGGTTAAACCCCTACTCTTTTCGAAGGATCACCACAGAGGGTTTAACGTCTCATCCGAAAGACGGCACTCACTGAGCAGTATAGAGTCCCTCTTCATTATACTGGGGCATTAGGATTCACACATATCGCAGGTTGAGCGTCCCCTGCTCTCTTTACTAACAACACCTCTGGCAGAAACCTAGCTTTCCCATGTATTCTCCTATCCAGGAACTAACCGCATTAACAGCCCTTCTTAGCTTTAGTGGGCGATCGTGTGAGAGTTGCAGAGAGCTAACTGCCGGCTATGACATTTAGCTGACCAATTCTTAATTTGCTGCTTATTACTAGTTATTTAAGATAGTAGTTGGGTGTAGGTAGTATGTAGGATTAGGGATCTCCAATAATATTATGCAATATATCTATTTTTTTTAGTTCTAATAAACTACCAATATCATAATAATAAGCAGCTAATAAGCCACTGCAGGGCTGGAAATTAACTTTTTTACTTGGTAGCACCGTCGCTCCCAACTTCAAATATTTAGGAGCACCAGAAAAAAATTAGGAGCACCACCAAAAATGAATTGTATTGTATTTTAAGGGATTTATTGTATTTTAAAACAATATCAATTAGGACTTACAAAAACCAGAAACAACTATATAACTAATTCTGTGATGACTTGATGTTTGTGTGCAATAATTCCAAAATGTGTGTCTAATAATAATAGAATATTAATGATGATGAAAATGACAATAATAGTAACAATGCATTACATTTCTCATAATTATGCTGGTATGAATGCACTTGAATGTAAGCTATCTGCTATAAAATGTCTGTTACTTTATGAAAAAAAAGGGTTTGCATCAAATAAAAATGAAGCACTGCAGTAAGAAATATTTATTTTGTCCTATTGTTATTCTATGCATGTCAGTTTAAAAAATATATTTATGCTACAAAACAAACGAAAGACTATAATAAATCATTCAATTCAATGCTGAAAGCTGCAAAACAGTCATCAGTAACTAAATAGAAATATAATATACATCTCAAGCAAGAATAGACAAAAGAAAGTAAGAAAAGTCTCACTTATAACACATTTACATTTAGTCAGTTAGCAGACGCTTTTACCCAAAGCGACATCACTCTATCACTCTTTAAACGTTTGGTTTCAGTTTGTGTCCATTTAAATGATCAGTCTGAGCTGATTTTCATTTTTCTGTGTTAGTGGAAAAGCAGGCGAGTCAGCCGACCCAATATATGAGCAGGCAGAGCAGGATTCTCGCGATGACCACCCGCAGTTTCAGTGTAAACTTAGTAAAGGCGAGCTTCTTTGGCGATGATGTGTACATTTAGCAGACATTTGTGCTAAACACGCAGTGAATTCAACGCATTGAGATTCGGGCACCTTCTCTGAAAACACTTAATAGATCTCAGCTGGCTGATCAACATTCACCACATGTCATGATCGCTCTCATCTGCGCCTAAACTTTTGGTGGGGTTTGCAAACCTGTGCGCTTTTCACTCTTCAGCCGTTTGCATCTACCGCGGTCATAAAAGCTTCCTCCCTGTCATCTAACAGCGGAAAGACTTGAGTGATTGACAGCTTTATCAACCAATACAGTGACAGGGAAGAGCGATTCAGCACGTTTTTCGAAAAAAAAATCAAAACAGGTCACACTACAACCATTATATGCAGTCGCACAAATGCTCCCAAAAATATTATGAGGTCGCATAGATTAATTGTCGGGCGTATATGTGACCAAAATGGTCGCATTTTCGAGCCCTGCACTGCTTAATAGTGGTAATTGTTACTTAAACTATATTACTATAACACTATTTTATTACGGAACAGAAACTGCATCGAAAGTCTTCTCAAACACAGAGGCTTTGTGTCCAGCACTTGACATACATATAGAACAGCTTCAAACTGGTAAGGGACTTAACATTATTCAAATACTTTGCATTATTCCGATCCAACCCAACAATCACATTCCCCCCAGTTTTTCACTGCCTCAGTGAGTAATTTCTGCTGAGTCATGAGTCACTTATTTGTAACTCGTGTCCTGTGCACATGATGTATCCTTCATCTTATTTCAGCATTAGTCAGCAACTTCATTATATTACATTTA